GATGCACGTACGACTCAATGCTTATAATTGCAACTTGCAGTGATTTTTGTCACATAAAAAAAAGCATCCATTAGGTTTTTCTTTTAAATTGAGTAATTACCTAATTTTGTTGTACGATGGTTTCAATTTTGAAAAGTTGGACATCAATTTTTTTTAATTTCAACGGTCGAGAATATTCTGGTCAACTTACGCACATTTCGACTAATCTCCTTTCTGATCCAATCAAAAAAGATAATGCACGCTATGATTAGAGTATTCGTGAGAGATAAACATATGTGTGTGAAAAAGAGGATTAAGTGAAAATCTAGTCTCGATTTTATTTTATCCCTTGAATTATTAATTTTTTTCATTGTCTGAATTGATTTTACACGGTCTCAAACACAAATGTCTATTTTTTTTGGGTGGGAACTATTGACGTGTTGTCGCAAAGTGGACAAAATGAAACAACCTACAGACGTTAATTAATGGGGCAATGTGAGACTAATAGCATAGTTAAGGGTACATTTTAGAAATATAATAGTTGAGGGAGTAATGTAAAAATGAAACAAACTACAGACGTGAATTAATGGGGCAATGTGACACTAATAGCATAGTTAAGGGTATATTTTAGAAATATAATAGTTAAGAGAGTAATATAAAAAAAAAAAATCACAGTTGAAGAGATCAAAGAGTAATTTTCCCTTTATTTAAAATCGTTTCACACGGTTCCTTTCGTCTATTTTTTCTATATATAAAAAGTAACAAAGTCACAACACGAGGTTCACGAGCTTTGATCGAGGGTATTTTCTAAGTCGTATGATTTTCATGTAGAGTGTTATGGTGAAATTGCTCGGATATGAATGTTGAATGATGTGGCCCCGACATTAATGTAAGTAATTACAAAACCCCTTTTTAAAGCAAAATTATTAAATGCCCATTAACTTTTTTCTCACTTTATTCATTTACCATTATAGCGAAGTTATTATTCCTAGGCAGTTATATTCATCTACAAGTTTATGATTATCTTTCCCCCCTTGTTAGAACAAAGCATAATACACTATAATAAATTCTTCACTGTAAATTTAGGATGAGACCCATTGCTTGTTAAGTACGATGCAGAGCCCTTCAATTGAGATACACGAGAGATCAGTTTTATTCTCGGCAATCATTGATCATTTGTAAAATAGACCATTAGGGCATTACAAGGTCCATTTATTCGTGTGCGTTAACTTTAACACTATTTTGCGATCACTCAAGAACTAATTCTAAGCCCTATGACCCAATGGGTCATGGGCCTGTCTAGAAGTCGGACAAATAATGCCATGTGCCTTTTTTTTGGCCCGTTTGATTTGAACTAACGATTGGACAAATTTATTTTTTTAGAATAAGAAAAATAAGTTAAACTTTGAAATAATAAATTAATTTTGACCGGCCCTATGGTATGACCCATGTGGGTCACCTTTTCTGGCCGACCTAGGGTTTTGATTCAAATTAATGCTAGCTCAAGTAGTTTGAACCTAATCTTTGCATAAGCACTTTTTTGGCAACGGATTTTTTTTTTTCCCAATTACCATTCAAGTATTAAATATCTTCACTCAATAAAAAAAAATGCCACCGGACACCCAGCTCATCACGTGCAGTGCACACTCTCTAACATTTTCCTTCAAAAAGAAAAGCTTGGACACTTTATAACTAACCTCATTAATTAATATCATTATGGTGTTAGCTAAGTATCTATTTTCCCTTTCTGTGCCGTGCCGTCACAGGTACTCATGTTTCCTTGAAATCTCATTCATTGGACACATTATCACACATCATAGTAGTAGTTGTCAGACATGGTTCTGAAAACATAAGAATTACCATGAAAGAAATAAATAAAAAGTCATCCACATAAAATATACAAATATTTTCTTTAATTCATCTTTTTACATTCAATTCACTAGATCAATACACCATGAACTCCAGTACGATCAGAACCATGGAATGAGAATTAAAGCAATGGAATCACAAGAAGTAATACAAAAATTCACTAACTGACCGTTTTCAATTGGTGTTATATGCTTTTTATGATCTCTCTTTTCAGTCAGATGATGATGGTTGGCTTCAATGGTGCAATGGGTTTGGGCCGGTTGGGACAAGGCGTTTTTCGACACCATAACGAGGATCTATCTCGCTCCCAGCTGGCTCTGGTTGTGCATTAATGTCCTGTGATCGCGTCCGGTGGTGGTGGTTGCGGTGTTTCAGAAATGGGGTGAAATCAAACTTGCTGGAGAGTGCTTTTCTATGGTGTGAAGGGCGATGAAAGAGAGATGAATTGGTTGTGCTGCCATTGGTTTTCAGGTGTCCGAGACCATGGAATTCATGAAGTACTAGTAGGAGGAGAGAGAGAGAAAGAGTGAGACACAATAAATGGGAGATTTTCAAGGCCATGTTGGATGAGGAGAAGGAGCAGGGTGAGAAGAGGAAGCATGGAGCAATGAAATAGGGAGGAAACTAGCTAGAAGGAGAGCGAGGTTTTAGGAGGAGATTGAGATTTTCTTGAAGGTTGACAGCTTGAACCTAATGGATCACAATATAAGAAATGTAGAGGAGGGTTGAATTTAGATGGTGTTTGCTTCCATATGAGACTTGTGAGTACATTTATGTGCTAATTTAATGTGTATGAATATGGGGGAGAGAGAGAGAGAGAGGAGAGAAAAGGGGGGGGGGGGGGGGGTAAAACCCTTTTCCCAATGAAAGTTCCCTTACAAATCAAGGAACTAAAGGTTACTCTATGGATTGTCAAAATCTGAATTATATAAAAAGTTTCTTGTCTAAATGATAGTTATAATACCTAGAAATCGCTTTCTCTCTCTCTTACACACATTTTGGTTGAGGGAAACACCATATTATAGCTCGAGGAGCAATACTATTTAAATTTAATTTAATGATCTAATATACTAACCAGAGAATTGAATTGATAGTGGACTTCAATATTTTTTGGGACTTGTTATCAATTCAATACTAGCAATGATTAAGTTAATAAATTATATCAACAAATTAGATTCAAATCACTACAAGAATTAGGATTTTTTGAGTTAATTTTTTGTGGCAGCTGTGTTCACCTTCACAAAAAACCTTTTTTTTCAAAGAAAAAAAAGGTTTATTGTGGCGACAGTGATGTAACAAATGATTTATTTGTTGTCACAAATACTATTTGAAATAGACTATTGTCGCCATAAAGGCTATGACGGCCATTGTGACGACATTGACCATTATAATAAGTGAAGTTTCAAATACTCTTTATGACAATAACAAGTCATCTCAAATAGTATTTGTAATATAAAAAAAAAAAATTTATAACAGTACTATCACCAAGAAATTTTTTTTTCCTCTTCAAAATAAGTTTTTTTATGATGATGAACACAATTACTGCAAAAAACTTGTTTCAAAATGCCCTAATTCTTATAGTGAATAAGATTATTGATAGTTTGAGTACCTAATAGATACAAAGCAGAGGGTGGGGAATATGCAATCCACATTTTGTTTCGACGAAGCAATCTACTCACTCTTTGGAAAAGTGAATGTGTTCATTTGTAATGTCTCCAAAAAAAAATCACAAAAATAAGTATAAAAACAAGAAATAAATATTACATTGTTTACCTTAGGTAATTTTGTTCCTATTTTTTGTTTTTGTTTTTTTGGTGGTGGGGTGAAGGTACAATCATGACAAGTAAAAAAGTTAAGCTATCAAATAATGAGATATCAAAAACTATTAAATCATTAATGTTATTTATAAGAGTAAACCTTAACCTTCTAGAAAATCGATTTTCCTCTCAAGTTCCTTCCCGACCTTAGATAGAGAAAGGAATGCTTAAGGAAAATACACTCGATCTTTAAGTTGATGCGTCAATCCTCCTTTATTGCCTTATTTAAAATCGACGTAAAGAAGTTCAGCTAAATTTAAATAGTGTGGCTAATTCAATCAATTTTTTTTTTTTTTTGTAAAATTACCTTAACACACATTATCAACTAGACAAAGTGTCGATTTTTTGAATTTTTTTTTATACAATATTAATAAAAAGCAATATCGATATACATTACATTAAAGGTTTTTTTTTTTTTAATTATTTGTTAATATGAGATGGTGGTGTCATAGATTTACTAACTTACAAGTTTTTTTTTTTTTTCTCATCCCCGTATGAAAATGGTGGGAAGCCTCACAGATCAATGGTGCTCCAAAGATGTCTTGACGTGATGGATTACTAATTTTAGCATCAGCATCCAACACACTTCACACACCAAAATTTAGGACAAAATATAATCACACCCCCCATACTTTTTGGTATTTGCTAGGGGCAATCTCATAATTTTTTATAATTACACTTCACTCCCTCTTAGTTTGAGTTCATAATTCGGGGCCCTTTGTTAATCAATAATTCAGTCGTGGCTAACGAAATCATATCATTTTATTTTGTCCTTGAAATGTCAATTTCCCGGTTAAGATAATCGTATTGGATTCAAGTAAGGATCTCATTCTTCTATGGGCCTTCCCAATCTTCTATTGAATGAACCAATTCGAAGAGAATCATAGAAAATTTGAGATTCAACTAGTCGTAAAGAAAATTTGGGATCTTTGATGAACTTCTATGAGCCTTTACATTGGATTTTATTTTTCCCAAAAATCGATAATAAGGGTGTAAATCAACCAAGCCAAACCGAATAATAGAATATTTGAGCTCAACTAGCTCAAATAATTAACTACTAATAATTGTCTATTAATAAGTGAACAGATAAATAAGTGAATTCCACGTAACTATTTCATGTAAGACAATGAGATCTATTTTATTTATTTTTTGATTTTTTTACTGAACGGTTACACTACGTAGCAATGCTGAGATATAACCATTACATCAATATTTTTACTCATAGGGATGGGCATTTTTTCACGTTCTTTTTTGAGTAATACGACGTCGTTAATAACATATTATGAAAACGATGAAAAGCGTCGTTTACTTCACAGCCATATTAAACCATAACTGAGCCGAATCGGGCTTTCACATCGAACCGACAGCTTCGGCGTAACTCGAAGAGATCATCAATCAATTCAGTTAATCAAAGAAGAAGAAGAGAAAATGGTATGCAGTTTAATCTCTCTCTCTCTCTCTCTCTCTTTCTCTACATTTATGAGATTTATTTTTTAACAATTGGATTTCTTGTTCTTGTTAATGTAAGTTTTAGAATTAGGGTTTACTATCAGTACATTATGGTTTGTTTTGGATGCAATGCTGTGATTTAGATCCTACATAGAGGATTAATCGATAATATTTTAGTGAATTAGATCATAGAAATTGGATCGACTATGCAATTCGTATAAATTGGACCAGTAGTTGAGACCGAAAATTGGGATTTGGTGGATTTTGTGTTATCATGGGCTTTTTTTTTTTTTTTTTTATTGATTTTGAGGTGGGACTTCTAAATCAAGGGCGGCTACAGGATTTCGGCCTTTAAGGTGACATTCAGGTTAATAAAGATAGTTTTTTTTTTTTTTTGTGGTTTTGGCGGTGGCAGTGGTGGTTTGTTGGGGGGATGTTGTGGCTGGAATTCTTGTAATTGTGATCATCATTTGGTTAATTTCATATCAACTAAGGTATTTTGCAAAACTTAGGGGTGGTTGTTCCCTCCACACTCTAGGTCCGTCATTGACCTTATTTGATTTCAGTTGAATCGTGTCTGGCTGCAATATATTTCCCAAGCCATCAACATGAGACCCTTTTTTAATAGAAATTGAACTCTTGTCGCCCTTTGGCCATCTATTGTATTTTTTCACTCTATTCATCAATAACATTTTTTTTCCTATTAAAAGAAAAAAAGAAAGAGAAATAGCAATTGAACTCTATTTTTTTAGTCACGTGCTGAAAAAATAACACCCAATTTAGTCCCCATTAATTATATGTGGGAAGAAGTAGGCTGGGTTCAGATTTAGCTTTCGTTTTAATTGCACAAATATGATTGTCCTCTTGTTTGAACCCACAACTTTGGGTCATTGGGCCTTGGGCTGAGTGGTGGCCTGTGGCTCCCTTTTTTTTAAATTAGTTCTCTTAGATTAAAAATTGTTCATTTGGTCTGAACTTTGAAGTTAGGGAAGGCGCAAAGATGTTTTTATGGATGTTATTCGTGTGGCTTCATTAGATGCTTGTTCTTGAAGGGGTGATCCCTTGATACTGTTGATAACTTTATTAATGGTCATGATTCCTTACTTGAAGGAGCTTTTGTCTTGTGACACACACACTGGACATTTTATGTCAGATGGTTCATGTTTGGTTCGACTGTTACTCTAGCTTTATGAATTATTATCTCAAAATTAGTTCTTTTTGAGTGAACGATGGCTTTATTGTTCATGTTTGACATCGATATGCAGTTTTAGGAATTTATTTCCTTATTTCCTTAAGATGCTCTCTTTTTTTTTTGTTCTCACTTCTCAACTACAATCTTAGGCTTTTTACTCTGTCTCTCTCCCATTTTCTTTAAGTTGCTGAATTGCTTTATTGGTTTTCCTCAGTCTTCACTTGCAGCTGCTAGAGCAGACAATTTTTACTACCCCCCAGAATGGAGCCCAAAAAAGGTATGCTTGCATGGAATTCCTTCTCTGCCACTCTATTTGTATTTTTATATGGTTTATATGACACATCGGTGTTCTAGATTCTCATATGTCTTTTATCTTCAGGGTTCTTTAAACAAGTTTCGTGGTCAGCATGCTTTGAGGGAGAGGGCAAGAAAAATAGACCAGGGTATTTTGATTATAAGGTACTGAATCGCAACCATAAAATCAAGTATTTGATGTAGAATCTTTACTTTCGGTTCCGAATCAAGGGATTTTCCATGGGCTTCGAAGTTTGAAAGCTTAGGCTGTTGCACCTAAGGAAGAATGCATCGTAAAACATATTCATAAGCTTGAAAAAATATTTTTCTTTCATATGCAAAAAAACAATTCTAATACCATTTTATGTATATATGAATGCCTATGAAGTCAAGGGAACATGCTGGCCAAGTAATTCTTGGAAGTAAATTAAGAGCAAGGACACGGAACTTTTTTTCTAAACCTCCTCAAACATAAACAAATTTCACAAGAATACCCACAAAAGAAAAAGTGTTTCTCTGATGTTTTTGCTAACATCAGTATGTCTATATAATTTCTTTAATTTGTGCATTATTGGAAGTGGTAGAGTTCATTAATGAGTGAGGAGTTTTTAACTTCCTCTTGTCCAGCGGGTGGATTATATGATTCTAGAATATGCTCCCCTTCCGATCATAGAAAAAAAAAGGAAACGAGTTTTTGCTGATTCAGGTGGTCAATATTGGTGATAATACTCTTTTCTTTTTTCCCTTTAATTTGACATCCCATGGAAGCTCTGATTGTTCCATAGAAATGAGGAATTAGCAATTGCACCTTCTGCAATTCTGGTGGTAAACATAACTCGTTTGTTGATCTTATAGGGCACAGGCATTGAGCTATTTATTTATTTTTTCTGTTGTAAGGAAAGCAATTTATTTGCGCATACAGTTTGTGATTGTAATTCAATTATGCTTCAGTGCAATCCCTTGGTTCATACATTTTTCAAGGAGAGAGTCACTGAGAGTTCATAGGGAATTCTTATGACTCGAGATTCACTAAATGATAGATTTATACGAATGAAAGGGTTTCCAATGCTTCCATTGTGATGGTTCTTGATCTCTTAGTCTCTGTTGATGTTAATTTAGGGAAACAATATTCTTTTTGATTGGTAATGATTAATGATATTAGTAATTGGTCATGTTGAATCTGAAAGGGAAGCCATTTATAACCATCAAGGCAACATATGGCTATGAAGTACGGATACAGATACAACTGTATAATACGATGAGAGTACGGCAATACAAAAAAATTGGATATAGTTACGGTTAAGATATATCTATAATAAAATATATTCTATATTTTTACTATTATCTACAGACTTAATAAGTATATATTTTGGTAATTATTTAACACTAAGAAAAGTTAGCAATTGTTTTTAGTTTTAAAAAAATATATATCCTATCATTATGGTATATTCACAAAATGAAGGGACTAATTAAAGGAATCGAAAATAATATTTACTTAGTTGGTTTGTTTAGAATTACTCGTTGCAAAGATTAGAATGTAATAGTTTCATTTTATGTTCTTTTGACATTTAATAGCAGATAATACTTAAAAAATACTCATTTGTCTTCAAAGTAATATGACTTTTTGTTGATGTATTATGTGGTATATGAATTCAAAAAGAGATGTTAAATATTAAATTCAAAAATTGTACATATTGCTCTAATACAAAGTATCCGAATAGTATCCAAATAATTTTTTTGTTATCATCGGATATGTAAGAGGAAATATTCAATACGTATTTTCGAGAATCCAACGAGTATCGTATTTTATATGGATACGTTGACCTCAATGAAGTATCCATGTTTCATAAACATCTACAAAGAAATAAAATTTAAAACGTAATTTTGTAAAATATTTAGGTCAGGTCATTAGTGAAAGTCCAATGGAGAATATTACTAGTTCAGTTGTATAAAAAGCAAAGGTGGAAAGAGATAAAAAAAAAAAACAGAAAGTTGTAAAATAAGTAAAGAAAAGATGTTACCATGTTGAAATATGGCGAGCTGCTAATCTCACTTGCATTTTTTGAAGGTTCGAGATGCCTTTCAATATCTGGTGTGGCGGATGCAATTCTATGATTGCAAAGGGTGTAAGGTTCAATGCAGAGAAAAAGCAAGTGGGAAATTATTATTCTACAAAGGTAAGCTACAGTTCATTATAGATGCTTGAGGGACTTTTTGATTGGGGGTTGCTAATCCTGAATTTCTGTGCTTTATCAGATATGGAGCTTTACCATGAAGTCTGCTTGCTGCAGACATGAGATTGTTGTTCAAACAGATCCAAAAAATTGCGAGTATCTCATAATTAGCGGGGCCACACGAAAGACTGAGGAATATGACGTTGAAGATGCGGAAACCATGGCACTCCCAGTAGATGAAGGTGGTTATCAACATTGAATGTCCCTTGGAAATATAATTAGTCCTTTGTATTATGATAGTATTTTTCTTGCATTTGCTGCCACTGAGATGAGCTATAAATAGCTATGCATACATTCTTGTGTGTGCATGGTTTTTTCCTAGACGTTTCTTTATGTTGATTGCGGCTACGGGTTATGAAAGATTATCTGATTGCTTCCTCTCATATTAATGCGATATATCATTGGTAGGCCAGCAACAGATACTAACATGTTATGCCTAACACAATGGTCTAATTTAGTTTCCAAGGACATTCAAAAATCTATTTTTTGTCGCCATTTTGTCTGCTGAATGATGTGCTGACATGTTATTTGTTGCTTTCAGATAGAGGCAAGCTAGCAGACCCTTTCTACCGTCTTGAACACCAGGAAGAGGATTTAAAAAAGAAGAAAGAAGCTGATCCGGTACTCGTGCGCCTTCAAAGGATATCTGATGCCAGGCATTCAGATGATTATGCCTTGAACAAATCTCTTCGGGCCCAACTTAGAGTATGCCACTGAGCTAGTTCTTCTTCCTTCTCTTTCCTGGTTGTATCCATTTTATCCTTCATTTTCCTGCTTCGCAGAGTCAAAAGAAGAGAGTTGCTGAAGAAGAGGCTGCTTCCAGGACTATTGGACTTGGCATTCGACTATTGCCGCCATCTAAAGAAGATGCTGCCACTGCTGCTGGTGTCAAGTTCTCGTCCAAGTTTGATAGAAATAGGAAGGAGAAACGGGCATTGATAAATGCTGCTTCCATTTTCCCTGGGTCATCTGGGTCTTCTCTGTCCCTTGCAAAGCGGTTGGAGCTGGAATCCAAGAGAAGGAAAATAAACGCAGTTGCAGCATCAAAGTTACTAGGAGGGGGATTCAAGCCATCATCATGGTCTCACAGCGCCGTTTCTTCTGTTGGGCGGAACAGGGCATAAAGTCGCCGTGTCGACTGAGTTTCCGACAGTTTTTGAAACATCTGGGGTTCTTCGATAAATAGGCTTAAGGACACTTGGTGACTTTGATGGCATGGGTGGAATCTGGCCTGGTGTTGGCCCGGTCAAATGGCAACAGCTAAGGAGTTTGTGTGTACATATATATAAGCTGTAGTGATGTTTCAAATTTATCTTTTTTTCTTCTTGCCCTCTATACCCACCCTCTCCCCCCTTCTTTTGGTGTCCTTTTCTAATGTGATTTTTTGTTCCTTCATATATCGTGTGTGTGTGTGTTTTGCTCCATGGTCACTTCATTTTGTGATTTGTGATCATGGATATCTCGACATGTTTTTCCTTATAATATTAATATTATTTTTATAAAGTATTTAATTCTTAATATATTTGTAAGCATAGAGTCATTAAGCGAGTGTCAATTGGAGACGAAAAATGCAAATACAAGCAATGCACGAAAAGGGCCAACCAAAAAAATTAATGGTAAATCGGAAGGGGTACACTAAATTGGGTTTAATTATTAAAAAGTACACAAAAAAAATGTAAAGTAAGGAAGTCTTTAATTTTAGATTTTAGTTGTGTACAAGTACATAATTTGACATTTTTGAATTTTTCTTTTACATTTGTGTCTTTCCTTAAATTATATAATTATTTTTGAAAATTATATTTATGCATTAAAAATTTCTTAATTTAATGGAAGATTTGATTCTTCTGTTTATTTTGAGGACAAATTAATTGATTTGAATTTTTAAATTTTACAATAGTATCATTTGTTGTCTTCTTCTTCTTCAACTTGGAATAAATTTATCAGTGTAAGTCTGAAAACATTATTTTATCTTTATCAATCAATCTAAGCAATTACATGGTTTAAATTCATGACTTTATTTAGGTTTATGTCTGTCATTTTGAAGGTGATTATACTGTTTTTTATATGCAAACATCATAACCGAAATTCATCATGTATATGCGTTTACAGCGTAACAATAACAGTATAAAAAATTATTTGCACAAAACGCTGTACTATTACATTTTGTTAAACATATATTTACATATAATTTTATTGTTACAGTTCAACTCTGTTTTGAATTTGTTATCACATCTACAAAATCAATAAACATTGTATGTGATATAGTGTTACATTATATTATTATACTGTCTTTGTTATATTGTGCGGAAAACATAAACAAACTTACATCTAATGGCGGACCAGTTGGATTTTTCTTTCAAAGACGAAACCCTAAAGATGTTCAGAGAATGATTTAAGACTTCTCGTCGAGGAAGATGCGTTTTTGGACAAGAAAAAGAAACAATAACTATTTTTCAAAGATAAAACTTTTAGCAAATTAATGTTACTAAAACTCAAAGGTTAAACCTTATTACTGTGTACCTAATTAATTTTAAGATATAATCCTTAAACTGTTTTGACAAAAGTAATTTTCCTAAAATTCAACAGTTAAACTTTATCATTGTATACCTAATCAATGTTAAAATATATTCCTAAAATCGTTTTTAGGAAAGTAAATTTTAGAAAATAGACAGTTAAGTTTTTGTATTTTAGCAGTGTACTTCTTTATAATACATTTTTTTATGTATATTTTTTTATAATTATACCTAATTTAATATATCGACTTATAAAAAACCCAAAAATTAATCCTTGGGTGGTTGATCGACTTGTGTACAGATAGTAAGTTGTGAAACACCTTCAGCCGTTTAATTTAACGGTATGTCTTAAATTATCATAGTTGTTTGAGAAGAAAAATGGAAGGAAATAAGGATTGGATCAATAATTCCGTGCAGCTTTATAGAGGAAGGAGACGAAACTTGCAATTAAAGAGAGACTTAAAAAAGTTACGATATTGAGTCCTATTAGAGAAATTCAAATATATATATTTTTTTGATCAATGAAAGAATTTTTTTTAATTTCTTGATGATACCAAAAATTCTCCAAGGTTAAACTCAGTCCAAAAGCAACTAAGATCTCTTAGCTCAGACTCCCAGCTTAGATCTGCCAACTCGAACCTCTTAACTTGGACTCCTATAGTTCAGGTCTTCCAAATCAAGTCTTCCACCTCAGATCTCTTAACTTGGACTCTTAGCTCAGGTTTTTCAGCTCAAGTCTTCCATCTCAGACTTCTTAGTTCAGACTCCCAGCTCAAGTCTTCCAGCTTGAGCACTGTGACGACATTTCAAGTCTTCTAGAAAGTCATATCATGCCTACTGAATATAACCTCTAATGGCCAAAAATTTCTGGCACATTAGTTGTAACAACCACTAGAAGATTACGTTGATTATGCAAGAATCTCTGTTGTTACGAAAAGGTCATTATCGTTATGAAAGGGTCACTGTTGTTACACAAAGATCACGACAGCTATCTAGGGATCATGCTGACTACACGAAACTCCTACACACTATAAATAGGGATCGATCACTCTCTTTAGAAATGGGAAGAATATCTATAGATTACACCATCAATAACCTTGTGATATTCTTTCCCAAATAATAGAAAAACCCTCAGGAGCAAGAGACTCTATTAGAGTGAACTAGTCAGACTTCCAAGTTGGTGAACTACTATAAATCTCATGTCTATCTATTTCAATGAATGGTTGTTGTCTTTGTGATTAACTATTAACTTTTACGAACCTATGAGCTCAACTATACAATCACATAAATTACACCATCATTTCTAAACTATAAAATTATCCCTAATATTTGACAAAAATTTTTCCGTTAAATAAATTAGTTAAATCTAAAAGAAGAAATAAACCTCTAGAATTTTTTGACCCAACAAATGTTAATTGAGTCAAGTTTTGCAAATTTAAGTCGAATTTGTCGAATTTAATTTTTTAAACGCATTTAAAATATTATTAAAATTTTGCTCATTTAAAATACGAATCGAGTTTGAGTCTCGTCAAACCCGAGGAATTTCGTTTAATTATGAGCTCTATATCCGGCCAATACGGAATCAGCAATTGGCCAGCTTTCAAAAGGTCTTAAATTATTTTGAAGATCCAACGGAGGAGAAGTTGCCAGCACTAAAACCTATTCCGTATCACACCAACAGAGACAGAAGAAAGAGGCATAAATTCCGGATCAGCTTCAGATTTAAGCAGAGAGGAATAATGGTATACTGTCTACGAATAAGATCTTCTTGTGCTCTGTTTGGATTCTTCAGATATTCTCTATCTCTCTCCCTCTCCCTCTCCCTCTCCCTCTCCCTCTCCCTCTCTTAAATGTACATTTCCAGAATTTTGTAAGGCAAAAAAGTTACGACAACGTATTTAATAACTTATCGTACTCAGAGCCACCTAATACTCCCCTGTCACCACGCAACTGAACCACAAACACACAATCAAACAAACAAACATTTAAGGACTCGACTACGATGGCAAGAATATATTCAACTCTTATCCTTTCCATGAGTGTTTTTATAATTTTTATACGTTATTTTATAATTAAAAAAATTATTATTTTTATGGATATTTTTATTAGATTTTTGATTACATTTGTGACAACTATTTTTATTACTTGCGTTGGCACAAAAAAATTTATTTTTAAATATTTTTATTATATTTATGACTATTTTTATCACTATTATAGTAGTTATTTTTATTATTTTTTAGGTGTCATAACAGTAGTAATAAAAAGACCCTCAAAATATAATAAAAATGATCATAAATATGATAAATAAAGATAAGATAGATATATATATATTTTTTTTGGATATCATAGTCAAATCCATCAAATAAATTCAAATAACTAACATTTCAGAAAAGAGAACACCAGAAGCTAGCTCTGTGAGTGATTATTACTGCATTCTGGTACAAAGCACCATCATTCTTCTGCCCGGACAAACAGTGTGTTTTTCTGGGTAAATATATATATAGGAAAAGTTTACAGTACTAACGAGATGAAAAAAATTTGGTACCGTAACTCTTATTTTTATTATTTTAATATATTTTTTTATAATTTTTGTAATTAATTTATCATTTTTTATGAGTATTTTTATCACATTTATGATAATCATTTTTTTTTGATAAAAAAAAAATTATCACTTTTATAATTGATTTATCACATTATTTAAACCGTAAAAATTAAAACTTTTTATAGCGAGTTTTAACATTTTAGGAAGAATTCAAAATTATTGTTGGTGTAAATGAACTTCAAAAACTTGTACTTGAACCCATAAAATTGATCCCGATTGTTGTTGTTGTAATTTGTCTTCCGCATTACATCCATATCTCTCTCTCTCTCTCTCTCTCTCTCTCTCTCTTTCCGGGTTTGTCGTAAATGCCCGGTGTCAATTATCGATCTCCTGATCAGTCATTTTCCCTTGTCTGATTCTTACTGTTTTCGCCACTGTTACTCCTCTAATATCACTGTTGCTGTTGCAAGTGCTTAATTAAGAGTCGATAACCACGCAATGTGGAAGTTTCTTCTTTCCAAATCTGGCAATGGCGAACCGGTGAACTTTGAGGAAGATTAACTGGAGCATTCCAGGTGAGTGAAACCCTTTTCTCCAGCTAGCTAGCATTACAATATTTTCTACAGGTATATATTTTCCTTCATTTTGTGTACATGTTGTGTTAGTTGTCTTGGTGTTCTTGTTTTGATGAATTTATAGGAGCTTTATGGATATTTGTTAACTTTCTGCAAAACCCTTGGAGTTCTATGTATGTGCTCTCTTGCATCCTGCACAGTACATACATATATTTTGTATGTGTGTGTGTGTGTGCTTCTTGTTTGATGTTTGATCAGATGATAAAAGTTCCCCATGCATATGCACATTCTGTTGGTCTTCTTTGAGTTTCCATTAGTTTTGAACTATATGTAGATTTGAGATTTCTACAGAAAGCTGAATGAACTTTGAATCTGATATGGGATCATGAGTTAGATATTTTTTCGTCAAACGTGAATCCATTAACATTAACAAAAAAAAAATAATAACAAAAAACTAACAGAAGAGTCATATTTTAACAATTTTGTGTAACATAAAAAATTTAATCTTTTAAAGTATAAAAAAAGAATTTAAAAAAATTTTAGGGTGTAAAATACAATTCACTAAAAAAAAGATATGGATGTACCATATATACCATACTAGATAGTCTAACCCGGCTAGTTACTTGTCTGATTCGTCAATATTGATACGGATTGTTAGTAGAGAGGCGGCTAAAGGTTTTGGCCTTTAATAGGCGCAAATAGTACATACACAGACCCTGCAATGGCAAACAATACTTTTACTTCTTCCAGTAAAGTAAATGTTCACTCTGGTGAAAAACATTACCAAAGTAGTTACCCTTTTATAACGACTTAGCTTCTTAAATTATAGTCTAATA